CACCCCCACAGTTTAGAGGCCTGAGCAGCTCCCTGCAGCAAGTGACAAAATGGTTTTAAATGTTTTAAGTGCTTTTAATTTGCTGCACCTTAAATGGTGGTTGTTGTTTTTTATAATATTTTATAATTTTATTATTTTATTTCTGCTTGGGGTTGGATAAGTATTTAGTCAGGGTGGGAAGTAGTTTAATTTTAGCACTATTGTTTCTTGCTTTGCTTTTTTATTATTCTGTTATTATATAGTTTGTATTTTGCTTTCTAAGGGGAAGGGTCAGGGCTGCCTGGGAGTGGGCCTCAGCCAATAGAATGGCTGGGGCAGGTTCCACAGGGGGGAATGTATTGGGACACCCGATCTCAGTGATCACGGGCAGGAGGAGGAGTTACGCTAAGACCAGACCATGTCATTACCAAGGAGGCAGGGTTAGTCGTTGTTTGAGGACTATCCCTGCCTCCAGGTCTGGTCCTGACTGGAAGGATACTGGAATCAGCAAGGGAAACCCACATGACCTGAAAGTGTTGCTGTGCAATGCCAGGTCAATGATGAATAAAACCACTGCCATCCACAACCTGATTGTAGGTGGAGGATTTGACCTGGCATGTGTGACAGAGACCTGGTTGGATGAAGCAGATGGGCCTGTCCTTGCCGCTGCTTGCCCACCAGGTTTCTCTTATGCACAGCAACCCAGGTCGGAGGAGCACCGGAAACAGCTTAGGCACATGGGACGCGGGTGGCGCTGTGGGTTAAACCACAGAGCCTAGGACTTGCCAGTCAGAAAGTCGGTGGTTCAAATCCCTGCGACGGGGTGAGCTCCTGTTGCTCGGTCCCTGCTCCTGCCAACCTAGCAGTTCGAAAGCACATCAAAGTGCAAGTAAATAGGTACCGCTCCGGCGGGAAGGTAAACGGCGTTTCCATGTGCTGCTCTGGTTCGCCAGAAGCGGCTTAGTCCTGCTGGCCACATGACCCGGAATCTGTAAGCCGGCTCCTTTGGCCAATAAAGCGAGATGAGCGCCGCAACCCCAGAGTCGGCCACGACTGGACCTGATGGTCAGGGGTCCCTTTACCTATGCACAAGCGTTATTTGCGCATACGCAAGTGTTATTTCTGGTGCACATCTGGGTCGGAGGAGGCCCGTGCACATGCGCACAAGCTATTTCTGGTGCTCCTCCGACCTGGAAGTGCGCCAGAAATAGCGTGCGCGCACGCACTCCCCCGCTCTCCGGCCTGCTGCACGATCGGCGCTGGAGACACCGGCCCGAGGCGCTGTAAGTTTGCTGACCCCTGGGCTAAGAGATTATCTTTAGCTTAACCGCGAGCAGACAGGAACCTAAGCCCGAGTAGCACTAGTACAGGGGATTTTCAATTGTTTTCTTGTATATCAAGCTTATTTCTTTGAAGACAGCATTCCAGAAGGGTTTGATCATGTAACACCACCACATATGGAAATATGTACCTTTGACTGTGCATCCCCTCCGACAATTGGGATTGACTTCCCTACATATTCGGGATAACCTCACCTGTGTATATCACCACGAATGCTGCCCTTATTTTTTGAAGAAACTGATTTCAACAGTCTCCCTGACTACAAAGTCACCCATTTTTCATTTGGGATTTGCACTTGGATGGATATGTCCACTTCCTGCGACATTTTTGTGTACAATAGATTGCCATATTCTCGTGTTATTACAGCTTCAAAAATTGAGGGAGCTCGGCCCTTAGACAGTGGAGAGAAGTTAACCAAGATGTGCTCTACTGCTCTTTGTTTCCTGTTTACTGGAATGGAAATGTCTGGGTTTGACAGCAGTCTTCACAGCTGGTTAAAGTGGTACCATGATCATTTAAGGTTTGCTATGGCAGCTATGATCATGGACGCGGGTGGCGCTGTGAGTTAAACCACAGAGCCTAGGACTTGCCAATCAGAAGGTTGGCGGTTCGAATCCCCACGACGGGGTGAGCTCCCGTTGCTCGGTCCCTGCTCCTGCCAACCTAGCAGTTTGAAAGCACAAAGTGCAAGTAGATAAATAGGTACCGCTCCAGCGGGAAGGTAAACGGCGTTTCCGTGCGCTGCTCTGGTTTGCCAGAAGTGGCTTAGTCATGCTGGCCACATGACCCGGAAGCTGCACGCCGGCTCCCTCGGCCAATAAAGCGAGATGAGCACCGCAACCCCAGAGTCGGCCACAACTGGACCTAATGATCAGGGGTCCCTTTACCTTTACTTTTTATGGCAGCTATGAATTGTTCTTTCTGTTCCCAACCATTCCAATCTAAGTATTGCTCTGCTTCTTTAAAAGATGGGTGAATGCCAAGAGGGATAAGGGGGGATATTGGGGGAAACAGTTTTCTAAACTTTGCTTTTCATAATTTAGTTTCATGTGGAGAAAAGGGTTTGCAATAGTATGGGTTTTCAGTAAGGAGAGTAAAAAGGTAGACACACTATATATAGGATCTGAAATTTCTGTATCTACCCATGGTTTTCCTTTTTGCCCATGGATCAGTGACATCAAATGCTTTAGCTGGAAGGCGTTGTAATGAGCTTGGCAACGTGGGATTACGAGCCTGCCGTTTTGGACACTTCCATATAATTCTGGAGCCCAGTTGTGCTTTTTTCCCTTCATGAATAGACTTGTTTATTCAGCACTAACAAATTTTAAATTGTCTGGGTGTAATGATGATTGGCAGCACTTGAAAGAGGAAACAAACATTTCAGCAGGATAGCCATCTTTACCGCAGCCACGTGTCCTGATCATGATAAACCTTTCCAAGGTTCAAGATTTGGTCGTACCTGTAGGAATACTGGTGTGAAGTTTTCTTTCTTTGGAGCGAATAGATTTTTAGCTGTGTGTGTGGGTATTCCAGTGGCAGGTTGTGAAATTTTTCATAGGAGAACAGATAGGGCTGTATATAGTGTTAGGGTAATCTAATACAACCGCCTGCAAGGCAGAAATCTCCACTCAAGCATCCCTAAAGGAAAAGGGACCCCTGACCATCAGGTCCAGTCGTGGCCGACTCTGGGGTTGCGATGCTCATCTCGCTTTATTGGCCGAGGGAGCTGGCATACAGCTTCTGGGTCGTGGCCAGCATGACTAAGCCGCTTCTGGCGCACCAGAGCAGCACATGGAAACGCCGTTTACCTTCCCACTGGAGTGGTACCTATTTATCTACTTGCACTTTGACGTGCTTTCGAACTGCTAGGTTGGCAGGAGCAGGGACCGAGCAACGGGAGCTCACCCCGTTGCAGGGATTTGAACCGCAGACCTTCTGATCGGCAAGTCCTAGGCCCTGTGGTTTAACCCACAGCACCACCCGCGTCCCTCAAGCATCCCTGGCAGATGCCTGAAAACCTTCAATGAAGGAGGATCCACAACCTCCCAAGGAAGTCCATTCCCTGGCCAGCCAATTTGCCGGTTCCTAGCAGTTTGCAAAAAGAAAAGTTTGGCTTTGCTTTGTTTTTTTGAAAAAGACAGCCCCAGGTGGACAGGTGGATTTTCCCCCCCTTGGAAAAAAAACATTTTAAACACCCCTCCATTCTTCATCATCTCCCTTTCTATGACCATGTTGTTGCTGGTTGTTGCTGATTCTTCAGGTTATGACAGATTGGGGCTGTGGGCTTTTTTTTATTAAAACACCACACTTTGAAAACACAAATACAAACACACAAGGCTGAAGCAAAGGAGGAAGTGAGATATGAAGGTTTCAGGGATCTTGTCTTCCACCCCCATCCCATGGGCACGTCAGGCTTTCCGACTGCTCTTCCTTAAAAAAATGAAAGCTCTGCAGTTCTGCTTCAAACAGCCACTTCCTGCTCAGGTGTGGGTATTGCTCAGCAGAGCTGTGCAGTTTTGCAACCTTCAGAGGTAATCAGAGAGAGAAAGAGGGAGAGAAGACAGACTCTGTATGCACACACGTACACAGAGCTTGGAGACACTGGCCAAGCAGGTAAACAGAAAGATCCTGCTGAGGACAGTAAGGGAACTAGGCTAATAATAATAATAATAATAATAATAATAATAATAATAATAATAATAATAATTTTTATATACAGCCCTATACCCGGAGGTCTCAGGCTAGTCCCACAAGTCCATGAACCATATGCCACTAGGGTATTCCAACTGTTTTAAAGAGATTTTAGGTGGTTTTAAATTAGCTTATTTTCATTTTAAATCTTTTGAATGGTATTGTTTTAATATTTTGATGTTTGCTGCCCTGAGCTCCTTTGGGAGGAAGAGTGGGATAAAATTTTAAAATATTTTGGTCATCTTCTTTTCATCTTAGTGGGAGAACTTCCTCCTGGGTTTGCGGACTTTTGGGGCAACTCCACCTTGGTCATTTCCCACCACCCCCTGCCCCAGATCAGATGAAGAAGAAGAAGAAGAGGAGTTTGGATTTGATATCCCGCCTTTCACTCCCCTTCAGGAGTCTCAAAGCGGCTAACATTCTCCTTTCCCTTCCTCCCCCACAACAAACACTCTGTGAGGTGAGTGGGGCTGAGAGACTTCAGAGAAGTGTGACTGGCCCAAGGTCACCCAGCAGCTGCATGTGGAGGAGCGGAGACGCGAACCTGGTTTCCCAGATTATGTGACTACCGCTCTTAACCACTACACCACACTGGCTCTCAAGATATCTCAGATATCTTGAGATATCTCAGATATCTCAGACTGATATCTCAGATATCTGCACATTCCTTTTATTATATTCCCAACCCTCCTTTCTTCCGCCCTGGAACCAAAGGCAGCATCCAGGTGGTTTTCCCCACCCCCAGGCCCTGAGCAGGATTCACACCCTCTTGGCTTCAGCAACACAGCGGCCTCATGTAACTTAAGCCCACCCCTGCAAAACCACAGATTATGTCCCCATCTCGCTTTGGACACTTGTTCTTCAGTCACTTTGCAATGGAAGACCAATTATTGGCACCTCTTTGCCAGAGGCTACAAACTCTGAATATTCTCAGGAACTTCAAGATCTCTGGAACTCCTGTGATAAGAAGGAAAGAAGCACTAAAGAAGAGGGGGGGCACCCTTGTTTATTTCAGACCAACAAATATTGCAAAAGGAATAATAACAATTACATCCAGTGTCTTCAAAGCAAGATGCAGCAAATCCATTGAGGCCTAAAAGAGTTATGCATTCTTATTTCTTGAAAAGTGTCTCCTTAAGGAATGCCAGCCTATGAGAAGGGAAGGAAGACGGTGGGAATTGCAGAATGGGCAGAGTATGTTCCTCAAGGGCCACAGGTGGAAAAGCAAGAATGGGCGAGATAAAAATTAGGCAAATTGAAGGCAACAAAACCAGTTTACTTTGAAGAGTCCATGTGGTCTGACTCTCAATGGGTCACCCCTCCTAGAAGACTGTGGGGACCAGGCTAGAAGTCTCATGAACTGCAGCCAAAAATATGGGGCTCCTTATTTCAGATCAAATTGTGGCCATGCAGCTCCTCACCTGCCTCTTCTCCTTCCCGGCTTCCTCCTTGGCTGTCAGCAGGATCAGTCCCTCTCATCTCCTGTATAAGAGTCGCTATACCCCATCCCTTCAGCCTCTCTACCTCTTTCTCAGTTCCCCACTTTCTCCATTTCCCCCTTCAGCTGCTTCCTCCTCCCCCTCCAGCCTGTTTCTCAACTCACTGCCCCAGGGCATCATGGGAGCTCCAGGGTGGAGCCCCAGAGAACGGCAGCTGGTTGTCCTGGACGTGGAGCTCCATGAACCAGGCTGGAGAACTGGAGCCTTGAAGGTATCGGGACAGAAAGAGGGTCTGGAGGAAACTGCCTCAGCAGCTGCCATTGCCACGGGGAGGGTCTGAATGCCCCCTGGAGCTCCTCATTCTCTGCTGGGGAAGGGATTGTAAAGGAAAACACAGCAACAAAGAACCAAGAGAAACCATCAAAATCGCTGCAAGTCATGCTCAATCTCCCCTCCCCTTTTTAAAGCTTTTAGTTGTGTATATCTGGCACAATTTTGATTAACACAAGCACATTTCTGAAAATCAGCTGCGAAGCACAATCAGCCAAAATCCATCAGAAAAACATGATTATTCTCAAATTCAAGTTACAGCTGTAGTCAGAATAGATGGGTGAGAGCCAGGATTAAGGAACATCCTAAACAGCATTAAAGGACAGGAGGGGCTCTGAGCCTCTGCAAATCACAGCCAAACTTGGGCAGGCTCCTTCTGGTCTCATCTCACACACTGGGCTGGTATGAAACTGCAGAAATAAAGAACAGGAGTGTTTCAAAGTTAAGCCAACATCATGGTGTGGGGGCATCAGCATTACAGAGCTCGTGGGAACCCAAAGGACATCTAGTCCAGCCTCCCAAGGAAAGCCACCATCCCTCATCATGTCAGATCAGACCTAAGATATGCTAGGAGTGTCACCAAAATGGGCCTGTAGAGCAAATGCCTGCAGAGGGCATCTCAAGCAAGTGAGCCAAGCTGCACACTTTGGGGGAATACCGGAAGGACACAAAGCAGTCCTACCAGAAGGAAAAATCTCTTCCTGAACCCAAAATGTGACCCCTCTTATTGAGATCCTGGGGAGAACCCATTTGTCAGGTGGAGGGGATCCTCTGTGGAGCTCAGATGGACAGACAGAATGAGTCACAAGAGCAATTTTCAGCTCAATGGACGCTGCAGATTATGGCGCTCTTGGAAACCCCAAGGGGGGTAACAGAAGCTTTTCCTCATTTGAGGATGTTCCGCACAGACCTCCTTTGCCCGCACCTGCACCCCCACTTACCCTTGGTGGAGCTGTCGGACCCCTGGTCATTTGCTGCAAAAGAGAGGAAGCACAGGAGTCAGGATCCTGGGGAGGGAGATCCCATCCCCCCAGCCCTTCTCCTCCCTCCTTCCAACCCCATCCCAAATACGGGTAGGGGCCTAGGAAGAGTTCAGGGACAGGGAGCCCAGAGGCAAGGGGGCTCAAGGACAGCAGTGGGGGGAGAAGCAGATGCTGGAGGGCAAAGAGAGATGGGCACAGCATGGCATGGAGGCAGCAGGGGACTAGAGCGGGGGTGGGTGCGATCTGGGCAGGAAGGCAGAAGGAGTGGGGGAGAGCAATGGTGGGTTCCTAACACCCACAGACTAGAGCTAACCAACCAAATCTTTAGCTTCAGGTTCTAGTAGATTAAACCCCCAGAGATCCCTCTCTCCCCACACCCTCGGCTCTTCCTCCTGCTCCTTCTTGGAGCCCCTCCCTCAGCCGACAGTCTCTCTGCAGCCTTTTCTGGCCCTGAAGGATCCCTTGCTGTCCACAGACAGGCTGAGCAGACAGGCTTGAGCTTTCCATCAGGGTCTTGGGCTTAAGAACTAGGCCACCACCAGGTTTAGTCTAGTCTGTTTGTAACCTGTTCCTGCTCCATATTGGGGGGAAATATGTCAGACAGAGAGAGGGGAGGAGTCACTCACTTGGGGTTTTTTCGTACGCTGCTTTCTCGCTCCGTTTCCCTGTGAAGACAAAAGCAGAAGGTCAGAGCTGGAAGGGACCTCCAGAGGCCACACAATCCCATTTTGACAACCTGGCTCTCAGATGCTGAAACCTTCCCAGCAGATGCTTCTCTTGTCTCTTCCAAACACCTCCAAGGAAGGGGAGCCCAGAAGGGGAGCTTTTCAAGGAACTCATGTTACAAAGAAATAGAAAAAAATGAGGAAACTAAATTAAAAAATCAACATGGGAACCATGGGAATCCAATCCCTTCACTCATTCCATTTCAGATTATTATTTCACTCCCAGCAGACCCCTAAATTTGCCCAGAGAGGGTGGGGGGAAGAGATAATGAACTTTAAGAGTGCAATTCTAGGCAAGTCTACTCAGAGGAAAGTCCTATTCAGTTCAATACAGCATCCTCCCAGATCAGTATTTATTTATTCATTTACTGAAGATAGCAGGGTGCTTCACAACATAAAAATACAAAATGAGAGCACAAAATACAGACTAAAGCAAAAACAAACCAGTAACTCCCCTCCCACAAACACATTTAAAAGGCCAAAGGCCTGGTTAGAGAGAAATGTTTTTGCCTGGCACCTAAAGGTTTGTAAGGAAGGCTCCCTGGTAAGTGTGCAAAGGTCTGAAGGCTTAGGACTGATTAAAACGTTAGGTGGGAAGTGAACTTCCTGAGCACAGAGTGAGCACAAAGCAATGACCAACAGGACTTTGGGTTCATGTTCAAAGGGTGTTTTATGGGGAGGGGTCTCTGTAGGGATGCCAGCGACAGTTTCCAGGAAGCCCCACCAGCACATTTCCAGTCGGAGGCCGAGACAGAAGGACACAGGAGAGGCAGCAAACGTATCCAGGGTTTACTTACTGCGGATGATGAAGAAGATGATCCCAGAGACCAGCAGGATGGCAGCCATGACACCCAGAATGGCTCCCACAATGAGCCCCAGGTTGACTAAAAGGGGACAAGAGACATTTTTATTCAGACTGGCGGCAGCAGCTCCCCAAGGCCTCAAGCAGGAGATTGGAGTGGAGGTGCTGAGCTATGAGCCCGGGAGGATTTTACGTGTGCAAAGCAGGCCCTCTCTCTCTCTCCTGACAGGCCAAGGTCTTCTCTGTTGTGGCCCCAATACAAGGGAGTTTTTCCCCCACCAGAGTCCAGCATTAGAGGTCTTTAAAATAACCAATTCATTTAAGGAAGACAGTTGACAGGCACACCTGTATCATCACAGACTCCAGACTTAAAAGCAGCTCTCCTCCTGCTCAGGCGCTTCAGCCTTCTCTGTCCTGACCCTGAGAGGAAGGGATTCCCTCCCCTCTGAGACCCCCCAGAGCCCAGCATTACAGGCCTTCAGGGAAGACACAACCCCTTAGGAAGAAGCATCTTGTGTAGGGTTGCCATATGTCCGGTTTTTTCTGGATGCACCCTCTTTTTCAGACTTAAAATGTCTGTCCAGACAAATTTTTTAATTGAGGCAAAATGTCCAGGTTTTTTTGTTTGTGTAGAATCTCTGACGTCCGTAGCGCTAGTGAGTGAGCCCTGGTCCCCTCTGCCCTGCCTGTGTGAGTCTTTGGCTCAAGGGCCACTTCCATAATCCTCACTAGCCTGCCTGTGAGAAGGAGAGTCTGGGCTGTGGGTGGGGATGTGCGTTCATGGGCTCCTGCTGGGGAAAAGGGAGTCTGGCTCTTAGACATTCTGCTTTGGTTCCTGCAAGCGCAGCTTTCCTGGCAGTGTTTGTGAGAGACGAGCGTTGTTATTAAAATTCCTGCTTGCTCTTCCCAGCGGTGTGCGGGTGTTTGGGCTGAGTGGAGATGAGTATCAGTTTTTCTAGCTGGGCGCGAGTGTGAAGAGGAGCGAGTGAGAATCTTTTTCACTGTGAAGTACAGTCAGTCCCGGGCTCCCTCTTTTAAGTTCACTGCCCCTTTTTCAGTCGCAGGGAGTGTGAGTAAGTCAGCCATGTGGAGGAGGTTGCATGATTTTGAAGAAATAACACATCTGCCCATATTCTGTGACATCACAACTGCTTGGACTTAAGGCAAAAAGGTGGCAGCCGGTTTTTACCTACGACATCCAATTTGAGTTTAAGGTCTATGAGACACTTGCCAGAAAAGGCTGCATCTCTGTCGAAATCTACAGATTCTTATTCTGTTGCTTCCCTCCAGAGCAGCCTTTCTCAACCTGTGGATCCCCAGATGTTCTTGGGGATCCAGAGCTCAGGGATGATGGGAGTCGTAGTCCAACAACATCTAGGGACCCACAGGTTGAGAACCGCTGCTCTAGAGACACAGACAGGATCCAACTGGGGTTCCCACCTGAGGAGTTGGGTGGAAACCCTCCTCCCAGAGCCCACCCCTTCCCCTCCTGTCTGTCTCTCACCAGGCTCCTTCTCCCAGGCCACGTCCAGAGGCTTCTCCAGGCTGTCGTGCTCCACGCGGCACCGGAAGCGCTCCCTCTCCTCGGGGTCGATCTGGACACTGAGCAAGAGATAGTAGGTCCCGTCCGAGTTGGGGGCGACCAATCCTCGGAGGGTGCCCTCCTGCCAGACCTCCCCGTCCTTCACCCAGTTGGCCTCAATCTCCTTGGGGTAGAAGCCGTGGACTTGGCAAACGAGGGTCTCCAGGCCGTCATAGTCTGCCTTCCTGGTCACCTTCACCACCGGAGCCTCTGCAAAAAGGGCCACATTGGGGTTAACAGAGAGACATCCACAACGGGAGCCTGAAGGAATCCTGTATTTTTTAAGAGCAGAGGAGCAGGGACCCAAGGGGAAACCTAGTCGCAATCTCACATCTGCAGAAATTTAAAAAGAACTGCGAATAAATAGGATTTTCCTCAACCTCCCTTGGCATCTTCCCCAGTCAGTGTCTATGCTGGAACTGTTCTTAGCTGTTTTTTCCTTTGTTTGCCAAAGCAGACTCCTTTGGGATGGAGGGCTGGGTAAAAATTAAATTACCGTATTTTTCGCTCTATAACACGCACCCGACCATAACACGCACGTAGTTTTTAGAGGAGGAAAATCCGTAGGCATGCCACCCATAGGCATTCCCTCCATAACACGCACAGACACTTCCCCTTACTTTTTAGGAGGAAAAAAGTGAGTGTTATGGTGCAAAAAATACGGTAATTTGTCATCTTGATAAAGCTCTAATGCTACTCAAACATGACAACTTGTGGTTCCAAGATTGTCCCAGGGAGCTGCCTCTAGGCTGAGGGGCAAATTTCACCAGGTCCCCAATAGTGGGATTCATTCAGATCCTTCCAGGTTGCAAGTCATGAACTGATCCTGATTTCTCTCTTGAGGGGGAAGAAATGCTGGACTCGCTGCTCTCTGTTCTCCGGGACTTTTCAGCCCAATAATTAGTGAACAAAGCCAACTGCCCTGGGAAAGACAGAGCTCCTTTCTAGTTCTCCCGCCTGCTCTGAAAGGGTCCCTTGAGGTTGGAAAGGGCCCATCTCCCTTCTCCACGGCAGCCTCCCCTGGAGTGGAAAGGGCAGACCAGGAGGCCAGGAAGCCAGCAACTTACGCACATTTAACTTGTGCACATTCAGCTTTACGCAGTTGCCAAAAATATTCTAAAAACCAAAAAGAGGAGGTGGGCATCTGGGAAAGAAGGACTTTGGCAAACCCAATCGCCCTTGAATCCAATGTGTTTTGACTATACACCATTTTGGCTTTAGGCACAATCCTCAGAATGTAACCCTTGTTTCAAAACCTGGCTCCCTGGGTAGCTGTTTGTCTGAAGGGGCTGTTCCAGGATCCCACCCACTTTGCAGTGCCTGGACTGGAAACTCAGGTCTAGGAGGGGATGTGACTCTGCTGGGGGAGCAGCAAGGAAGGAAACCCAAACAAGACCTCCCCACCCCACCCCCACCTGTCCTCAACAGAACCTCCGTCCCAAAGAGGATGATTCCCAGCCTCCTTTGCACGTTGTCACCCTTGAAAACACTTTATTGTGGCTTTTGGAGTGAAATCCTCAACCTCAAGAAATATGCTCGGTGTCTCTGGGGTGAATTATCACCAGGCCCCCATAGATGAATTTGCTCAGATCTCTCTAAGCACAGCTAATACATATGTGTCATTCCTCAAAAAGGAAGGGTGCTAGAATTATTTCATTTTTAATTAATGTTCATATTAGCAAAGCTAATAGAGACAGGAAGAAAGCCAGTCAAAACCCTTGATCATTTGATTGGCCCCCTGAGCCAGATTCCTGAAGGCGGAAGAGTGGACTGTACCATTTCAAGGCAAGGGGTTGGGGAAGATGACACTTCTGAATGTTCCCCATGGAAAAAAGTACTATTCCTCACAAATAAAAAATATTAGAAGGTAGAAGAGGGAATGCCCATACTCTCTCACCATGTGCAGGATTTCTGCTTCTAGGCCACGAGTGGCTAACCTACAGACTTAGTGAGGGGGCCACATTTTCTATTTAAAAAAAGGTTAATTAATTAATTTTTAAATACTTTTTAGCGGGGCCAACTAAAAAATTACGTGAAATGTAAAAGTGTTTCAATGCTGTTTTTCGTCGTTTAGTTAAGATTTAAAAATACCAAAGGTAAATTATCCCACTCAGTAATCAGGATTACACGTGATTTTTTAAATAAGTTCAGTGGTTTTATTAGAAATTGTTAGTGTTTTGAAAATGTCCACTGGGGCGCTTTGATACACTCTAAAAGTGCCTCGCTCGTGTACAATAGTGCCCCAATATACAAGTTTGCATGAAATCTCTAAACTAATTTCCTACCTATGAAATTTGAAAAGAAAAAAACTGTTGTTGACTATGTGGGCAAAGTCATTTCTAAATATAATATGACCGATTATCAAGTGTCATATCTGAGGAAATATCCAGGATCTTGTATGTTTGTCTTCCCCAATGTAGACGATAAGGCAAGGATGATTTCAAGGATGTTGTTTTGCCAAAACCAAATTTCTCAAAGGACACATCTTGAACATCATCTCTATACTTTTTCTTTTAACTTCAGTGGATATAATGTGCAATAAGCATTTTGTTTAAATTATAAGCATTTTGTTTAAATTACTATTTTTTGACTACCTAATGTGAGATCTTATACTTTTTAAAGGGCTGATTATGATCTCTCACAATAAAAAAAAAAATTAATTATTTGTAAATAATTGCCATTCTCATACAATTTACGCTTTGTATCAAAGTGCCCCATGCACTGTATCAAAGTGCCCTGTAGGTGGAGCAGAATGATACAAAACCCATTTTTCATGTCACTGCCTTTGAGATTTTGGAAGAAAGGAGGGGTATAATGCAAGATCATATTAGTTATTCTCATTTCTGGTTTACTTCTCTCCCATCCCAGAGAGAGCCCTTTCCGCTCATCCGGAACGTCTACCTATCTAAACGTTAGCCATGAAGAAGACCTGATTCATCTCTGCTGCCTGTTGAATGACACCTTTCCACCTTAACATGGCAAACTGGATCTAAGGAGAGGCTGGATATTTGTTCCGACTTTCAGCGAGGAAGCGAAAAGTTCTCTGGGATAAAGAGGGAGACTGAACTCGGATGAGGCCATTCTGGGCCCGAGACAAGATGGCCGTCAGGGAAGGGACACAGTCTGGCTTTGGCCTGCGGTTCCACGCAGAGCTTGAGCAAGGAGTCCCCCAGCAGATCAAAATGGAGGAGGAGGATACCTCGGATTCCACCTCGGGGGAAGGGTTGGAAGAAACCCCTTACATCATCCAGGCCGGAAGCATCCGCAAATTCCTGCAGAGGCCTCCCGGAGACCAGGAAACTGGCAACGGGCTGCTTTGGGAAACCCAATGGCAGGACTTTCTGAAGACTCTGGAATACCCACCACAGATCCTCGAGGAACCCACCCCGTGGGACAACACCAAGTCTTTCCTGGCCTCCTTTGAGCAAGTGGCTGAAGCGTGCCGGTGGCCCCGAGATGACTGGATGGCCCATCTTCTGCCAGCCCTCAGCGGGGAAGCTGAGCAGATCTTCAGCAACCTGGACACCAGAGACAGGATTAACTACGACAAGGTCAAGGCGGCCATCTTGCGTGGGGATGCCATCATCAGGGAGAGGCAGCGCCAGAACTTCCGCTGCTTCTGCTACCAGGAGGCCGAGGGGCCAAGAGGCGTTTACGGGCGGCTCCAGCAGCTGTGCGGTCAGTGGCTGAAGGTGGAGAGGCACTCCAAGGAGCAGATCCTGGAGCTGCTGATCCTGGAGCAGTTCCTGAGCATCCTGCCACCCGAGATGCAGAGCTGGGTCGGGGAACATGGGCCGGAGACCTGCTCCCAGGCGGTGGCCCTGGCCGAGGACTTCCTGCAGAGGGCATATGCTGGAGAGAGTGGGGAAGAGCAGGTGAGAGTCTAGATTTTCCAGCTTTGACTTAGGTAAGTTTCTCTCTTCAAGGTTACACCCCTGCTCTCAACAGCAATGCCTGATGAGCTTGTTCAGGTATGATGAAAGCAGACAAATATCCTAGGCAGAGGAGATGGGGGTTGCTTGCTCAGCAACAAAAAGTTGCAGCATGGTTTGTTCCTTGTTCAGGTTTCTAGACACTCTTTTCCACTGCGTTTTTTTGGGGGTGGGCAGTGATTCACTGTATTTACCGTATTTTTCGCTCTATAGGACGCACCGGACCATAGGACACACTGGACTATAGGAGGGGGAGAACAGGAAGAAAAAAAATTCTCCCCCTCTCTGCTCAGCGCCCTTCAGCGAAGCGGCAGGAGAAACAGAGCCCCTTCCATTTCTCCTCCCGCTTCACTGAAGGGGCGCTGCGCAGAGAGGGAAAACTGTGCAGCGCCACTCCAGCGAACCGAAGCCTGGAGAGCAAGAGGGATCGGTGTGCACCGACCCCTCTCGCTCTCCAGGCTTCAAGCAGCTATCCGCAAGCCTTCGGAAGCAGCGGGAACTTCTGCTGCACTCTGAAGGCTTGCGGATAGCTGCCTGAAGCCCCCGGAGCGCAGCGGGTGTTCTCTGCGCTCCGGGGGCTTCAGGTGGCTTCAGCGAAAGCAACGCGAAGCCTCCGGAGCGCGGGGGGAGCTCTCCCTCTGCGCTTCGGCGGCTTCGCATTGCTATCGCTGAAGCCAAGGAGCCTGCATTCGCTCCATAGGACGCATACATATTTCCCCTTCATTTTTGGAGGGGAAAAGTGTGTCCTACAGCGCGAAAAATACGGTATTTATTACCTTCATAGACCACC